TCATTCCCTTTCTCTATCTCTTTCTCTTAGGCTTTTATTCGCTCGGTCTGTCGTTTACTAGATTAAGCAAAACCTTGATGTACAGCAGTTTTCAAGAGTAACGAGGGAACTTTTCGAGTACCTATATTATCCGTTTCGTAAATCTAAACTTATGTTAGTTGAAACGTGATACTAATTTTATCAACGAATAAGTTTATTGCGTTCTTTGATATTTGATTTTCTAATAGACAGTAAATTACCGGAGTATTCGTACCTGTTTTAACTTTACATTTTAAATTATTTATATTTGCATTTAATGGGAAGCTTCATAGTTCTTATACAAAAATACCTATTTTAGTATTATTAAAGTTTCTGATTAATATGAATTTTAAAACAGAAGAATATTTTATCGTTGAAGTAGTATAATTTTATTTAAAAATGATTAAAAAATTGATCTTACAAGAGTATTTTTACCAATGTAAGATAATTACTATTTTTATAAGTAATACTCGGTTGATATTTCCTTTCATCTTATAATATTTTTCAAACGATTAGATATATCTTGTAAAACCAATTGTTCTATCAGTTATGTAGAATTTTATTTTTCTTAAAATAACATGCTCTTTGGCAATATAATTTATATCTATTTAAAAATTTAATAATCCTTAAATATGTTCCCTTATATAAGAATTATAAATATTGCATTACGAGAAAATATAAATTGTTTTAAATTGACAATAAGAGTAGTATTAATAATTTTAGAATTTATTATATGGAGCATTTCACGTGAAGCGAACAACGAAAAAAATGTGAGGTCGTGGATTTCGTGCATAATTAGCTTGATTGTACTTCTATGGGGCTTCAATAATTGTACATCATTAGTTTTTTTTTTTTACCTTAGTTACCAATTTATGGGGCTTCAAAGAATTGACAAAATAGGAGGAATAGATTTTTCGAATACTATCAAAAGAGTCAATCTAATGGATTATATAAGAAATAAATCGTGTTTATTAGAGAATATAAATTAATTTTGTTGGAAGTAAATAAAAATTTGAAATTGAATTTTTTTTTGTCTAGTAAACCGGAAGTTAAAATTAAAAGTGTGAATTTATTAAACTTCGCATATTTTTATTTTTTTTATTTTTACCTTAATAAATAGCTTGTAGTGTAGAAATATTATGCAAAAAAAATTATAATGGTATCTCGATTCGTTTAGAAGATATGAACTAAACAGTACGAAGGTTCCGTATGGCGCGTAACTAAGGTAAAAAAAAAACTAATGATGTTCAATTATTGAGGTCCTATAGAAGTACAATCAAGCTAATTATGAACAAAATTCACGACCTCACATTTTTGTTATTGTCCGATTCACGTGAAATGCCCCATATATTATAAATATTATAAGATATCTCGTTTTAATGAACAAATAATAGTCCCTATGAACTTTTATAACTTTTCTTACAAATTACCAAGGGAAAAAATAACCTGGATGAAACTCTTTAGGTGGATAAATCATAATATCCATGAAAACGAGTTAAGAGGAGAGTAGATTCTACGTTCCTATATTCTCGTATGTCCATATATCGTACGTTCTCGAAAAGGACGGTGAAATAACTTCGTTACGTTACTACCTAGCGCAATGAAAAAGTTAGAGGTACGTTCATATATGGATAACAATGGAATATAATAAAAGAAGAAAATGCTATTTGAGGAAAATCAGGCGAAATCGCGAAAAAGGGTAAATTAAATTTTTTTCTAACTCCTACGTTAGCTCGCTCGCTCGCTCGTTCAACTTTTTCCGAACTAACTTTTGGATTTACATGCGTGTTTTATTTCATTTTATTTCATTTTTTATTTTTATTTCTTTTTATTTTTTTTTAATAATAATATAATTTTTCTATTTTATGTCATTTATTCTTTCAAATACTTCACTTTTGTTATTTTATATTAATCGAGAATATTACTTGATAAACTTTACAAAAAATTAAATGTAATTGACAATGAGTATGTTTTTCATGAATACTTATCTTTCGTAAAGTATCAAAGCCGTGTATAATTATTCAAGGAAGTAATTAGCCGTATTAATTATCTATTTAATTTAATACAATAGTATGTTTCATAATAATCTCACTAAATTGTCGTTCGTAATATATTTATTGAATTTGTTCAATGTTTACAAATAAATTTATACGTTTATATATGCAGTAGAAAAGAAATTCGATACTGACGTGTTTGCTTTTGCTTAATTTTCTCTTGTTTTTTATCTTATACCAAAGGCAGCACTGTAGGCGCGCATTGGCATTTTTATTAGAAAAGAATTTATAGCCGGGAGCTTAATATTCTATTTTTATCAAAATTTCATATTTCATCGAGCCAATGGGGAAAAGATGAATGCTTGCTAGGTAGAGAAAAAGAGAATGAATAAAAAAAAAGAAAAAGAAGAAAAAAAAAGAAAAGAAGGGGAAAGTATTCGCGTGTCATTTCGCACGGACGAGCACGCACCTAATGAGAAATCATTCTGTACGAAACGTTAATTAAGTTTGTTTTAGAGATACTCGAAAAAAAGAAAAGAAAAACAAAATAGAAAAAACAAGAAAAGAAAAAAGAAATAGAATTTAACCCACCTAATACAATCTTCTCGTTTAAAAAGCTAATTAATAATTAACTCACGAAATTCGATAAATGATCTGTTTTCTAAGTAAAGTAAATCTTTTACTCGAATTCCCTTTTATCTCTTTTTTTCTTTGCTCGAGATAAGAGAAAAGTATCAGTATCACGTCTTTCCTTTCGAGTATTCTACCAAGTGAAAATGTCATTAACGCGATTCAACATTTAGGGTGAACGGAGCTAACATAATTCCCCATTAAACGTTTCGGATCAATGCTCTTCGGCTATGATGCTCTTGCTCGCTCCATTGAAATCTTCTTCTTTCTATCTTTTTTTATCTCTTTCTTCAGTCTATCCAGCTTTTCTTCCGGCGTGCCGGTTCCTTCCTTTCATCGGCGAAAGGATCCCATTGTCCCTCTTTTTTTCTTCTTCTTCCTTTTTCTTTTCCAAGCTATTTATGACACGCCGTGGAAAACATTTCCCGTATATCACGGAACAAACTTACATGAACTCGTCCTAGGGGAAGGAAAGGAAGCTTGGTTTGGTTTAAAGAGTGTGAGGGAGAGAGAAAGAGAGAGAGAGAAAAAGATAGGTAGAAAGAAATAAAGAGGAAAAAGAGAATGCACGAAGACGCTGAAAAATCCTCCGTATCTGCTGTGTATTAAAGAATATCCTACGAAAAAGGATCTCATTCGAGAATATTTCCTAATCTTTCTTTTTTTTCATTTCTTTTTTTCCAAATCTTCACAACGACATTGTTGCTGTAAATTTTTCTTTCATTACTTTCCTCTTCCCTTCTTTTTCGTTACGTTTTTTTTTTCTTTTTTTTTTTAATTATTTTAATGAGATCCCACGTTCATATTCCGTATATCCTTTATGTTGAAAATTTGTATAATGTTCCGTTAAGGACTGAACCCCTATCAACAAAATTTGTTTATTAAATTTGTTTTAATATAACGGTACGCATCGTACCGTGCAAAATTTTTTTTTTTAATATAGAGTGTTCGTAGAAATTTTAATATGAAATATTTAATTTTTTTGATAAATGTTACAAATTATATTATAAATTAGTGTATTTGTAAAGTTCATTCCGCACGTAAGAAATTCGCTTCTTTTCTTTTTTTTTTATTGCCTGTCAGTTACTTTTCATTTTGTACCCTATCTTTTTATAGAAAAAAAATTTGTAAAAGAACAATATTTTCCCCATAGGTTGCGTTCTTTGAAAGAATATTGAAATTTTATCGAAATACAAGAAATATTTTTAATGATATAATTTATATATCTTTTTATTATAATTCAGTTTGAAATCAACAATGCAAAAACAAGTTTTCAAACAATTTTCTACGTTTGCAGGAAGAAGAGGAGGGAAAAATATTATACATTTACCGAACGAGTTGCAATAAATCATTTCTTCGTAACGTTAATAAAAAAGAATTTCGGTTGGTTCTCCTAGAAATCGAATCGATCTTTAATGCGTCGACTGTTGGAGGACGTTGCAGTGCAATATTTCTTCTCTTTTCTCTTGTGTCTGTAGCACGGTAGCTCTCAAACTTTCGTCTGACTCCAATTACTTCTTCTTTATTCTACCGTTCTACCTACTTGTACGGAATAAATTTTCCGTATATCAGAAGAACAAACTTACATAAACTCATCGCGGGAAAGGAAAACGAGTATGCGAAAGAGAAAAACAAGAAAGAAAGAAAGAAAGAAAGAAAGAAAAAAAGAAAGAAAGAAAGAAAGAATGAATGAAAGAATAAGAGAATAAGACTCCACTTTTTTTTTCTTACCTCGAAAAGGTTGACGTTAAAATAAGAACGAATGAACGAAGACGCTCATTTTTTTTAGTTTAGATCTGCAAATTTACGCAGGACTTCTTTTTATTCATTTTTGAAATGTTATTCTACCATGACGTATATATATTCCTTTTGTTTGTTAGATATTTTTATTTTTTTTTGTTTCTTTGCGGAAAATAAATTTTTCAAACTTATCGTCAACATTAACCCATGCAAAAGTTTCTTGTTTCCTTTTATCGTATGCATCGTTAGATAAGGTGATGCATCTTCATTATGCATTCAGAATCAATTATACGGAATAAACGAGGTAAAATAGGTCAGCCGAATATCTTTAACAATTTTCGAAATGTAAATAAGATGTTTAAATATTATAAACGCAAATAAATGTTTCTTTTTTGAAATTGCCATTATTTAAAATAAATATTTGAAATTTCGTAAATAAAATTTATACTCCAATTAATTGAAATACAGTGGCATTAATATTATACCTTTCAATATAAGCTTTTTAATCCCGTTAGGAGGAAAATAATTTATTAAAATTAAAATGTTTGTGCTCCTTTAATATTATACATTTATTCGTTGTGTATATATCGTTTGATGTATTTATTTTTAAATTTTCAGAACTCAGAGGTTCCGTGCCACCAATAATAAATGAGAAGCTGGTTTACAAATCTGCCAGATTGAAAGAGACCATAGTTATACCATGTGTAGCATATGCCAATCCTACTCCGACAAACAGGTCAGTCCGTTTGATTAAAGGTAAACTTATTTTAATAAATAGATATCTATTTAATATATATACTAAGCTATATAGATATGCGTATTCATATATGTAAAGAAAGCAGAGGTTTCCTTTTGAAAAGCGATTCGATAGTTCTTTCTCTTTCTCTCTCTCTCTCTCTCTTTCTACTTATCTTTTCTCATAGTAGCAAACGAAACGAGAAAGGGGGAAAACTGGACGGGCAGGATTATAGATCGCAGCGAAAACGAGCACTCCAACGAACAATGCACGTCCCTCTGACGCTGACGTTTACGTTCTTTCTCTATTTTGCTTATATTAATGCTAATTTTAAACATTGAGGTGGTCTAAAAGTATTCCCGTATAGAGAATGCACGCACGGCTGCTAGAAATACGAAAATATTCCGAGTTCATTGACGCGTATCAGCATGTTATATACAAAAAGGATGAGAGAGGAAAAAGGAGAGAAAAAGATTGAAATAGAGGAAATATCCAGAGAGAGAAAGAGAGAGAGAGAGAAAAAGAGAAAGAGAGAGAGAGAAGGAAAAAGAGAATACATTTCGCGTTCAACATGCTGATTTCCTTCGTATCGATAGCTTTCGACGTTTGCCGCATATTCAGCGTCGAATTTGCTATCGTAAGCTCGGAATTAGCGTCAACAACGAATTCCGTCAGGTTATTCTCTTCGTTCGTGAACATTAGGCATAGCTCTATTCAAGGAAAGTTTTGAACTTTTTTTTCAACTTGCTACAAATGTGAGAAAATAAGGGTTACGATAATAATAACAACGAAGACGAAATAAAAAGTTTATGCGCACGAGAGAGAGAGAGAGAGAGAGAAATAAAAATAGAGAAAAAGAAAATGGAATAGAATCTGACGATTGAATAAAATTTATCGGCGTATATATTTTTCAAGCTATAATGTTGTAGAGTATAGTATACCCATAGTTCCGATCTTTCACGAGGAAAACGTAAGAGGTGAAATAGATGGAGATGGAGGTTTCCTTTTCAAGAAAATATTCTGTTCACGATCGATCGTTATCCGACGATGTCGTTCACCCGTACCTCTTACTTTCTCTCTCTCTTTCTTTCTTTCTTTCGCACACTTTTCGTAAGCTCGGTTTTCCTTCGGAACATTTTTCCTTCGTTGGAAAAGGAGTAAAAGAAGTCGTTTTTACGGAAAAGTGGGGAACGTTGAGCCGCCGACACAGTAGCGACCATTAACGAGGCATTACGTGCGATTCCACATTTTCTCGATTCGTTTCTGACTCGAACGAGAGAGGAAGAGAGGAAGAGAGAGAGAGAGAGAGAGAGAAAGAAATGAAAAAAAAAAATAGAAAGATGAGATAGAAAGAAGAGCCGTGGAAAAAAAATGAGAGAAAAATCTAACAAGAGAAACCGAAAGGAAACACTAAAGGGTAAGAGAAATCGAGTTGGAATTGTCACGCGTTTGCTTCTTGGCAAAGGAAAAAATAAAGCTAGTAAAAAAATAAGAGAGAAAATAGGAAAGAATGGGTAAGAGGAAAGAAAGAAGGAATATAATAAAAAAAAAAAAAGAAAAGAAAAAAAAATAAACGATTAGTGGTCAAACGGAGTGCTGATTTAAATGACTATGTGTGACTAAAAGACTGCATTTTATAAACAAAGCGTACGAAATTGTCGTCAAATAATGTACTTTCCATCGTCTTTCTCATTGCGTTTGTTTCATTCAACCGCCACTTTTCAACGTTCGTCACATGGTCGTTTACTAACGGATATGTATGACGAGTATTACGTATAGAGAAAGAGAAAAAGATATATAAAAGAGATAGAAAAAGAAGTTGGAATATATGAGAGAAATACAGAAAAGAGAGAGACAAAGAGAGAAAGAGAGAAAAAGAGAGAAAGGAAAATAACATTCGTAAAAGAAAAGAGAAACCAACAACGAGAATACTAATGTATCCGACAGTCGATTACGTTCATTCGCAAACGAAAATACAAATCCGACAGGATTCCCTGAGGAAAATCTTTTGAGAATATTCGGCAGAGTGGATAGTTAGAGAGGGAGATTATCGGAGTTAAAGATAAGTCCGTGTAGTTTGGCACAATCTTGTGATTATACTTCTTGTTAGTTAGAGACAACAAGAAAGAAGAGAAAGAAAGAGAGAGAAAGAGGGAAAGAGAGAGATAGTTATAGCGATAGAAAGATAAGGAGAAAGAAAGTATAGAATATAGTAGCAAAAGGTGAAAGATAGAGAAAGAGGTAGGTAGAAGTTGGGAAAACTCGTTACATATTCGATACCGCGTTATATTGAGTTAAATTACGTGACTAGACTCGATACCTTGCCGTGTCGTATGACATTTGCGAAAGCTAATAAAGATCTTCTGGTTACGTCCGAATTGGAATCAACCCCTTCTATTTCGTCCCTTATATAACTACCAATGTTATTTCGACTTTCGGAGTTTACTTTCTAACAGAGAATTATACGCGTGTTACTCGTATAAAATATAATTAATAGCGGTAAACAAAGAACATTATATAATTATCAAAGTCTTTTAATATTTCATGGATTTTTTTAACAGTATTTTATTCATATTAATTTAAATATATATTTTTATTTGTTCGTACATTTAAAATGAACTTTTGAATATTCGTAGCGAATGTTCAACATCGGTAGCGATATGATTGATTTTTTCTTTTTGCGATCTGGCAATATCAGCACGTTAATTTGACTATTAGATATATATATATATATAAGTATTCCATTTGAAAGAAAGTTATGGATAGTTTTTTCAACCAGTCCTGCACGTGATAATTTCGCATTTTGAAATATCGATAAACAGTGAATGAAAAAGGGAAAAAATAGAAAACATTTTACCATATCGTTTTTCGATTTTCTATATAAAACAATCCAAAGAGTGTTTGTATCTGTTATTAAAATTTATTTTCCTTTGTATTGTTCACTCTCATTATCGATAAACTTTATGCTTTACCCTGTGCGAGAGTAACGATATCAAAATAAATGTAATATTGAAGAGAATATACGTATACACATATATTATATGTAGTCCGTAAATACTCCCATCGCGTTTTTTAACGAGAAATAAAATTGTCGTTTATGAAATATTTAGTAAAAACATTGAAATAAACATGTATGCTTATATATATATATGGTGTTTTTTATTCACGAATTAAAAGCAATTAGACGTTCACTTGATTTTGTTCGTTAAGCGAATACTTGTGATTCGCGGGCCAAACTTATACGTTTGAAAAAAATTAATTGTCACGAGAGATGAAAATTTGTAAAGAGAAATCTAATATTTCCTGCTCTACGAATTTAACCAAAAAATATTCCCTAATAATAAGAATTAATTACTCGATCATAAAAAAATAAAAAATAAATACATACATACCTATATTTGTATCTCGCGATGATAACCATCAAAAATCAATTCGACGCGAGTGGTATTAAAACGGGGCGTTTAAAATTACTTTTCATTGTGGCACATCATAATGTTCATCGCTTGCTGTTACATCTATAAAGTAACAAATTTGGTAAAGGTGTGATACGGTTTTACGAAATTCTCCGGGATTTCCTAGATGCACGTTATTGTTGGTTATATAAAGTAGAAAAAAAGACGGAAATAGAAACATACATACATATGTATATATATATATATAAAGAGAGAAAGTACGTGCGTGGATTCGAATGGAAGGAAGTAGAGAAACGAAGGTATGAACGAAGATGGGTGAAAGATATATAGACGATGGGTCTGTATGAGTAGCGCAAACAAACCGACCGCTGATTACAGAGACTGCTTCTGACAGCCCATCAAATATTCCGCATTTACGTGTACGTCGACGTCACTGGATATTCCCGCGCTTGTGCTCACTGCTTTCTCTCGCTCTCTCTCTCTGTCTCTCTCTCTCTCTCTCTGATCGTACAAACCTTCCTATAGCTCTTCTCTCCAGTCTCCTCGTTCTCTTCACCTCTTTCGTGTCTTGACTTCAGAGTACGGAGAAGGAGAGAAAAGAGAAAGAGAGGGAGGTAGAAGAGAGAGAAATAGAAGAGAGAAGAAAGACCGAGATGGATAGAATGAAAGAGATAAAGAAAGAGAGAGAGAGAAAGAAAGAAAGAGAGAGAGAGAGAGAGAGTTGAGGGTTTGCCGCAGCAGAAGCAGAAGCAGCAGCAGTAGTAGTAGAAGCAGTAGTAGAAGCAGCAGAAGCAGCAGAAGCAGAAGCAGAACCTTCCATCTCCAGGTTCCTCTCACACTCTAGTATTCCCTCTATCCCACCTCCTTCCGTCGCCAATTTCCCTCCGTAAATTCGATTATCTATAGGTATACCTCCTCGTCGTGCACGTAGCTACCTATCTACCCACCTACCTACCTATACCTAGCAACTCTCTTCTCTAGCTCAGCAGCATTCACATCCTCCTTCCAACTTCGTCTTCTTCCACTCTTCATCCTCGTAGTCGTCTCGTAGTCCTCCTTCTCTCCACTTCTCGTTGTCGTGCTTCCTTTCCACGCGCCAATCTTCGCTTTACCTCTGAGGGCAGAGTAAGCAAGAAACCGGTGCCTGGAGGACCACACAGGTCTTCTTCTCTCACTCTCCTGTGGCTTTCCAAACCACACGAGGTCATTCGTTGCGAGAAAGCTCGACTTCTCTGGGAATTGTTGAATAAAGAAAAATGGATAGAAAAGAGAGAGAGAGAGAAATAAAGAAATGGAATGAAGATATTGAGTGGCTAAGAAAGAGAGAGAGAGGTAGATAGAAGTGCTTACCTTTTCTATATTTCACTCTGAATCTACTTTTAACCCGTATCAATAATTAGGGGGGATGGATGAGAAACATTTCGAGGATTGGTTATGATAAAATTAACCACAATTGCGTACATCGAGGGGTCGATATTTTTATTTATTTCTTCGTAACTTTTAATTATCGTTTGAATAAGAAAAAAAATATCTAAATTTCTTTTATTTTTGTTAAATTTAAATAAAATTGGATTAAAATGGATCGGGTTGGTTGCATGATAACAAACTTCACATTACAACTATTATTATTTATTATAACCAATTTATTCCAAAACTTACATACTTTAATGGTCATCAAAGACCAAGCGCAAACGCGTCTACATCACGTGGAGCTATACATACGACGACTAACTACGGAAAGACAAAAGGGAACCATTCAAAGAAATTTGGATCGATTCGGATCAATTCAGATCGAGTCGGCCGCTGCTGCTCAAGCTTACCAGCAATATAAACTGTACATATTTCAACAATTTTTTTTTTTTTTTTTTTAAGNTTTTTTTTTTTTTTTTTGAAGTGATACGAAACGTATCACTTAAAAAAACGTATCATGTATTTGGTAAATATTCTGACTCTATTTTTCTTTCTTTTTCTCTCGTTTTTTCTTTAAGTGAGAAATTGTTTAGAAAAAGTCTTCTCGTTAAAACGATATCAAATAGTTTGATTGAAATCAGATTAGTCAATAAAAATAGAATTAAATTGTCAATAGATTTATATATTTGATATTTTTTCCAACTTTTATCTGGAAAAATATGAGCTGATCGTGAATAAGTGAATTTTTCATATTTTTCAAGATATAAGATACACGTTAGGAGAACGATGTTATTTGGAATATAAGTTATAATATATATACAAGAAAAACAAAGAATTACAAGTAATATATAAAGAAGATAGTAGTAGTAGTAGTTCGTTCTTTTACTATCTAGTTGCGTTTATTCTTGAATATTTGAAGCTCCAGTGACGTCGACTCGCCACGAATTTTTCCAACGGTACATTGAGTTTTCCTTCGTTTAATAATAAATTGCCAAGAGAGATAGTTAGAGAGAGAAAGAAAGAAAGAGAGAGAGAGAGAGAGAGAGAAAGAGTGAGAGTGAGAGTGAGAGTGAGAGAAACAGAGAAAAAATGAAAGAAAGGAAAAGATGAGAAGAATGGAAAGAAAAACTAGACGACTCGAGAAGTGCCTCTACCGTTTATATCCCTCTCGACAGAAAAAAAAGAAAACAAAAAAGGTCTTTCTTTTTGTTAATGATGTTAGGCATTAGCAGTTAGTACATAGACGTAAATGATAACGATGATTGACTATGACGACGACGATAATGATGATTAGAAAGAATAGAAAGAGGAGAAAAAGGAGAAGCGGGTGATGAGGATGAGGATGAGAAACAATTCTGCGTTTATTTCACACGATATTTAATCGCGAATGTTTTGAAAACAACAGGACGGCCTATCGCACTGGCAGGCGTGCGTCGCGTATCTCCGCAAAATACGTGCGCTTGCATAGAGAAAATGGGAAAAGAGTAAAAGAAAAAGAGAGAGAGAGAGAGAGAGAGAAAGAGAGTATTGTTACGGCATAGTTACAATTCATGGGAGCACCGTGCATTCTCTGTTTTCATTCGAAACCGTAGTTATTTTGCGGTGATCCAGTGCAATGGAGAGATACGCTTTTCGGTTCCTATATTTGACGAACATTTCCACCTCATTTTCGCAGGTTTTAACATATCATTCATCGTTTCAGACGTTAACTTATATCATTAATTGTTTTTTCTTTCTCTTCTTTTATTAATTTCTTTTTTCATTTTTTTTTATTTCATTTTTATCAACGTTGCACTATTTATTTTTACTGTAAATTTGGTATGCTCGATATATCAATTCACTCAGGTAATATAGTTTTATAATTTTCGAAGCCAAAGAGATACACCCCGGAGTTCACTGTTATATATATATAAGGGTGGGTCAAAAAAATCAGATATTTTTCTTTTTACAAGTGCCACGGAAAAATGGGTTGCTAGACACCTTAAAAAAATTCTCACCAAATATGAGCTCTTAATTTTAATAGGAAGATCCTCCGCATCGCAGTTTTTTATTTTTTTCTCAGTCCAATAGAATAAAATTTATACCTCATCATTAATTGATTGTACAGAAAAATGTTCCGGAAGAATTTTGTAGGAAATTTAATGCTTTACAAAAAAGGTTTCTTATATTGTTTCCGTAAACCTCACCATTTGAATGATATTGAAGATTTAAGTTTGATTATTTTAAGACAAATTTCATTTTTGTTTATGAATTTTATAACTCGACAATAAATGACTATTATAAAATGCGCAATACAAATTTTTGTAGAAATTAACTGCTTTATAAAAATGGTGTTTTATGTTTTGGCGATTAAAT